AGTGTATTCATTCTAGTTCGTTTAAGGTGATAAGAGAACTGGTAGTTGAATTTTACCCTTAATGATATGATTTGACCTCACATTTCCATTGAATTTCACTGTTATGATTCGAGTCCCGCCGGGGGTGTTGATAAGACCTAGGCGAGGTCGAAAGTGCACTCCATCCTGGATAAGAATACCTCTTTGGAAAGTAAGGCCATGCGAAATTCAATGAAAATGTAATTTCCATTCGCTTAATTATGTAAAAATTTAACTACTCTCACTTTAAATGACATAGAGTGAATACATGCGAAGAAAATTTGGGTTTTGAGGAATATTTTGTTTAATAATTGTTGAGCTTACTTCCATTTAAAGTGAAAGTGTTTTTTGTAAAGATATTCGAAAGTCGATTCCACCACAGAACGAGGGAGGATTCCACATTACCAGTTGTTGACTGGCTTTACTGAAGCACTTATGTTGACGCTGTTTCCGAGGTAATCTCCTTCGATTCCGATTAAAACGTGCTAAGCTTTCTTCCCTCATATGACGAACATCATCAGAGCTAGGTATCATTTAAGCTAACGAGTCAAGTCAAGTTTCCTTGCCTCGTTAGCAATAATCCCAAGTAAGAGGTAGTAAAGTGAAAGAATCAATGGAGATTAAATTTACTAGCGCTTTAGATGATCCCAAATGCCTTATAGTCTCCTAATTATTCTGCGGGTCCAACCAACCTTTTTTGTTAGTGAAAATCTGACAAAAACCTCGAACTGCCTACTATATATTGCCCTGTACTGGCTTACTTTTTCCTATTGTGTAAATTAAGACGAGCTAAAGCAAACTTGCTATAACAAAGAGTGAAGAATTATGAGACATAAGTATCCTATGATGAGCACAAAGTAATAACACAGTAGTAATAAAGGTAGTAATAAAACAGAGGTATTTTAACTACTCTATTTATGCTTTATAAGACATATTCGATATGGATCTATTTCACTTATAGGCATAAAAGTAAAGCCAAACAATAATGAAGCTAGTTTATACACCTAAGATAATGCAAACTATAGCAAGCCTTTAAAAAATAACGAGATAGCTATGATGGAAAAATAAGAATGATTTTGCTGGGTAGCACGTTCATGCTTGATAGTAAGAATAAATATTTATGGCTTGAGAAGCCATGCTGATCGGTACACAAGTAATTTTACCGGTATTAGTGACTTCCAAAGTAGATTTATTGGGCTGGATCACGCTCATTAGTATTATTATATAAATGGATCTCATTTCCATTTTGTAAACTTATGAAAAGATGAATTTGATAGACATTAATATCTAAGATAAGCTATCATAATGAAAGGCAGCAACTTGGTATGTAGGAATATAAAATCAATATATTATGCTCCTGTCTGGATAAATTTAAGAGAGGATATTAATTTTTGTTATAAATGAAAAATCCCGGTCCACAGTTTTATTCTAACTATGATATACTTGATTACAGTTAGATAAAATGTAAAGACGTTAGTTTTGCTATATTACGATTTTTTGAAAATTTCAGTCTTAAAGTATTGGTTAAACTATTCGAGAAATTCAAGTAGATAAAGTAGAAGAGGTTATTCATAGGAAATAATATCTGGTGCTATTCTTGAGGACCTTATCAATCAAAACGAGCACTACTCAAGAAGTAGGGCAAGATTCTTGAAAGAGATATTGTAAATGTCTAGAAATCTACCATAAAAAAAAGAGACTAACAAAAAGACGTGCTGTTTGATCTAAAATGAATTGTTTAGATTACTTTAAAATAGTAAACCTTCCTATAAAAATTTCGTAAAAGAAGAAGGGCTTCGAATTCAAGTCAATTAAGGTAATTCATTTGCCTACGTGATCCAAGAAAACCACGCACTCGATATTTGTCCGCTTCAACACGCTGAGGCAAGTACTGCGGCTGACAGACACACCGACTAGCCTCTTTAGCCACTGCCTCTGCGATCAGTTCTCCATCCGAGAGTTGGTTTCGCTGTCGAAATCGGTTTCGGGTCGGGTTGCACAACGCAGGGGCGGATGGTAAAAAAGTTTGGAAAAGGATGGAAATTGATGCGAGTAAAAGGCAAAAATAAAAGGCACTGGTCAAGCCAAAATGGGAAAAGAATATATTTCCACTTGCATATATACAAGTTCTCTAGCTTAATGCAAATTACAGCCTGAATCTTTATTAAGAAGTAACAGTTTTGAATAGCTGCAAATAAAAGAGTAAAAACAGGCACTTATACTTAAGTATAGAAACAATATAATGGTCACAACTCACAAATTTAAAGGAATTTAGCAGAAACGCAAAATGATGTTAAAAAGAGCACTTTTCACTTGCTTCTAAATAAATGAACATTACCAATTTTTCTGGTTTTAACGCCTCAACCAAGTCTCGGTAGCATATATATCCTCGGCCAGTGCGATCAATCACCTGAAACGCACACTTTAATTCTTCCGAGCTTGCGCCCTCAAAACTAGCAGCGTGGCGAGAGAAGACGAGCAAAAACTCATCTGGACTCAATTGAAGGCCTGGTGTTTGACCAGATCCTGATAGTGACGAAATTGCCGTAACATCTGTCGATATATGAACCGGTGTTACCGAGCCACCTGAACCTCGGGAAGATGGGCGTGTCAGAGGGACTCCATTACACCCAAGACGAAGGCTAAGGGAACCCAATGTCCTTCGTTTTATCGGAGCCCGTTGGCTCCTGAGCCTGCGTTCTTCGAAAGTCTGCTTTCCAGTCTTCGTGACGTTGGCGGCTGACACCGTCGGTGCCTGCAAGTTGGATACAGTCGATTGTTCACTTCGTGGCTCGTAGGGTCGTGATACACCGCCGCTAGTTACTGTGTTCGTTACTGAGGCTGAGATGGCAGAGGAACGCAGACTTTCAAGGCTAGACACACGTGAGGTGCTCTGGCGAACAGGACTGGAACTGGTGCCAGGCCCGAAGGAACCTTTGGATCTGAAACCCAAGGTTGAATCACCAGCCATGCGGAACCGGGGAAAGTGCAAGTTTTGAAGGCGTAAGTGGATGAATGGGGGAGGAATAGGTAAGGTTTGGGCAATTATTGTGGTGAGATATTTTTGATTATGCAAGAAAATGCTTAAAAATAAATGAATAATAACTTAGTCATCTTAGGTCGCTTAAGATTATGTAAGGACTCACATTTATTGTTATATTTATCTTATTTAAGGCTAAGCAAACTTCGAAAAACAGTTTTTCTTCATATAAGCAAACCTATGTTTGTTAGTGCGATCGACAACGTTACTCATTTTCAATATTAGTAGTTTCCAAAAATATCAGCGAATCTTGAAAAAGAACTTAGTTACCCCGTGGAAGAACTTAAGTATTAGCTGTCTATGATTGCTAACTTATTATTAAAAAAAGCTGATAGTCTCGAAAATAAGCGGCGTCGTCAAATGCAATGGCTAACGCATGTTTATTTAATAGAAAATCTCCCTATAAATATTATTTGGATAAGGCTTGGCCTGCCATGAATGTCCTACCTACCCAGGGACCCACTGTCCCCCTTGGATGTGTAGTGAAGCATTAACGTAGCCACGATACTTATTTCAATGCGGGAAATTCAACTATTATTTCTTAAATCACCTTAGGCAATCTAAGTTATTATCCAAGTAGTACTGGTAGTCTCGCAATCTATTCAAAACGAAAATAAATAAAAATAAATGTCTTTCTACATTTTATTTATTTTTTGCCTACTCCAGATAAATGACTTAAGAAGAGGAGGAACAAAGTGCAAGAACCTTTTGCTTATAGGCGTAACAAACTGATTTTCCCATTGATGCCTCATAGAATTTTCCAAGCCATTGACTATTATTACTGCATGCACAAGGAGAAGAAAGGTATTTCAAAGAATAGAGCTTAGATTAAAGGTTAAACGAAAAAAACAATCATGTTGGGGTACCGTTCATTTTGTTTAAAGAGGCAAGTGAAAGGGTTTGTAAGTTGGACTCACATGAAACTGTAGGGGGATTGCCTTAGTACCAGAATTGCTAATTTGTACAAATAGGTCCAAGGCTCACCACTTGCGACTCCGATGAATATATGCTGAGCTTTCGTCCGTCATGTGAAGGACATCGTTAGAGAAGGACACCATGCTTTACGATAATTCACCAAGCACAAAGACAAGAGAGGTGGCCGGCTGCAATCCGAACTACTTTTTTAGATTGCTATGAGGACCTTGATTTCGTATAAAAGCGCATGAAAAAGAGATTCGTTGGTCAATCTCACCAGATAAAGACGAACAAAACTCGTTGTACTGCAGCCGGTTGTTTTTTATACCATATTTATGTTATCGCAGTCCATGGGACTTCGTCCATCAGCTCAGCACGTTTTCACCCGAAACGAGGGAGGAAGTCCCGTGGACTGCGTTAAAATGAATATCGTATAAAATCCAACCGGCTGCAGTACAACGAATTTCATCCGTCCTCATCTGATGAGATTGACCAACGAATCTCTTCTTTATGCACTTTTGTACGGAATGAAGATCCCCCTAACAATGTTACCTCAGGTGATTCATCGAACTTTTTTATAGCCTAGTTAGGCCCACTTAGTAAGACATCTCATGATTAAGCTGGATATTCCATGCTCTGCCTAAATATTTGCAGAAAAGTTAGGTACCCAAACATGAATTTATTAAGGGATTCTTCGAAAATTAATTTTCCTACATAAAAAAGTAATGGTTTTTAAGCTGACACATTGTTTATTTGATAAATAAGAAAATTAAAGGATCATATTTAACTACAGAAGGCATAAGCAGCACGTCATGAAATATTCTATATAGTTAAAATTTTTAGAGGAGAGATGATATATAGCGCTTTAAGTATTCTTTATATGACTTGGTGGTTCAATTTTCACATTTATATATGGTCGGATAAGTAAAGATTGGTAGAACAAGAAAGATATTAAGGGCACTATTTGCAAGTTTGTATAAGTTTCATATTGGCCTGATAGATCATCCTAAAATTATAATTACGTGTTAGTTTGTGAATGAATATATTTTAAACAATAAGTATTATCCTGATTAATAGTTTGGTTCACCAAAAGGTCGCTTAAAGTGATGTAAGTCTTCATATTTGAATTACCCACAATCAAATGATTATTGGTTAGTTAGGATCTACTAATAGTTTCGAATTAAACTCATTCACTACAAAATAATGTCTCCGATTGCAATGGGAAATACAATTCCTCCTTATTAACATAAAAATTATAATTTAATTTGAAGAAAGGTCTAACTTCCTTTAAAAATCACAGGCACCGTGACTATATAGGTGAGTAGTAACACTGCCAATTGAGGCACATGACGAAATTTTTAATTCCGTTGGAAAATTGAGAACTGTAGCCCCCTCTGGATGATTAAATATTTTGATGTATGAGTCTAAGTAAGATGTGGCATCATGAAGCCCACTTATTACAATGTGAAAAATTAAGCTATCCGTTATCACACCACCTTAAGAGACCTAGTGTGACTAAAATTTCATAGCTTAGACTTAATTCATCTACTTTGACCAAAAACTAGGCAGTGGAAGATAAAAATATGATAGTTTATACACGACAAAGGGAATAATGGAGATATTCCATTACATTGTATAGGATTAGAAGCAGCCAGGATAGACAAGTAGCATAGGTGTAAAAATCTTTGAAAATTGGCACTTCATGGAGACTTCATTTTAAAAAACTAGAAAAACATATAGCTGAGCGGAATAAAAATTAGAGAGAAGTAAAATGATTCTGAGCCAACCCGAAGTTAAGGCCGACTAGACGAGGGCTAGTGATGGTTTCTTGTTCTGAAATAACTGGCTCCGTCGAAGATGTTTGGACCCAGTCGTTGTCAAAGGGCCTGGACTCAGGACCGTGGAATGAAGGGGATGAAACAAGGGAAGAGGCCAAAACGGAAGGGCAGGAAAGCAGCCGCGGAGATAAAGTGGCAGTGGCGATTGAACGTGAAGAAGTGATAGATCGGTGGAAAAGATCAGCCATACGCAGGTGACTTCGCTCTATCCATGCCAAACAGTTCTTGCGCCAAACAGAGAAATCGAATTTGCAGATACGGTAGTGCTTAAAGGCAAAGAAGCAACCAAGAAAGCAAGAATGGTAATAGAAGATATGGAATATTGAGCTATTTAAATGTGACCGATTTCAAAAAATACTAGTACTAAGTGAAATCGTGGTAATATGTCGTAAAAGTATCAAAGGACCGCTAACCTCATCGACATGGGTTTCCGCCATTACATTTTTGGTGGAGAAAATAACATTTAAAAAAATAATCGTGGATAGAAAATAAAAACACCAACAATGAGAGGTTAAAACAGTTTTTAGAATAGATAATCACAGGAATAATCATTTCGTCACGTCAATACAAATAGCGAAGCAGAGAACAAAACTATATAAACACATATGAACAGCAAGATAGTGTGAGCTCTGTTCTGATCGGAGTCTCTTTTCCTTGTATATACTCAGCCTGGTCGTGTTTTCAGGCTGACCTAGATAAACGCGTTGGCCGAATTTCTATGTTATAATAGCTACAATAATTTTAATATCGGACTGTAAACTAACCAAATTCATATATGCTTAACCAACGTGTTATAGTTTGGTGCTATGAATGGCAAGAATTACTAAAGAGGTCTACTACGATGTCAGCACAAAGTCTGGGAATGTACTGAGTCAACGGTCCGACGCTGAAAATTATCATGGCTACTATGGCCAAGGACATGGAGGAAGATGAGTTAATCTAGATAGTTCTAAAGGCATGACCAAATTGCAAAAACGAAGTCAAACCGCTTCAGTAGAATAATGATTAATTATGAACTTAAGAACCCGAAAGTACAAGCAAATATTTGCACTCAATGGAATAAACTGATCATTTGATAGAATTAAAAAATATTTCAGAATATGTAAGCAAACAGATTGCCTACTCCAAAGTGGGATTTATTTCAATATAGGAAATAGAATATTTGGAAGAAGTTTGTACAGATAATTTAATAATAAATATTTGTAATAGAAAAATCTCGCTTACCCGAAGTAGGGCATCATGCAAGTGCATCAGGCGCTCCAGCCGGCTTCTACAGATGGAATCAATTAGTTCAACTTTGCATTCAAGGTTCCTACAGCGAGTAGAAAGTACACTCGCCTGTCTTCCTGCAAATACATTCTTTTCGGTTTCCTCTTTTTCTAGTTGCTGCTGATTGCGATTCTTTTCTATACCACCAGAGGAATCAAATGCTTGCATCAGCTTTGCAGAACCCATTCGAATACGCTGTCTCCGACTTTTGTTTGCATGAACTCTGGGGCCCGTACTTGGCGTCCAGTCATGCCACAGGTAGTGACAGTATGCAGCTAGTGGATGAACAAGATCACTTGCTGGTAAGCGTTCACATGTGTCACTGGCTTTTATCTCGCTCCCTTCAGTTTCTCCTGCCACTCCAGAAGTGTTAGATGCATTGGCCGATATGTGGCCAACATCCATCGTTTTGGGGAGGCGGATTTTGACCGGCCAGCTGACGGTTGGCTCAACCCGGCTAGGCTCTTCAGAAGCCTCATTTAGGCGCCACCAGGCGACTAGATTACAAGAGGCTTTGATTGTCTCTTGTACATCGGGTAAGAATTGTTTCAAGTTGAGGGCAAAGTCCTATTCAAATAAGATGAGGTGAGTAAGGGATAAATAATGAGTATAAACAATAAACTGCATATTTTCACAAAGTTAAGCAGCGAAACTAGGTTGGGTACATAACAATTTAGTAAATTATAGTAAGGTTGGTCAAAACATCGAAACATTTTGTACGTAAGATCTCGATTTCCCAGCCACAAAAGTATGTATACAACAATAATGGGAGCATATTCACAATAATTTTGGCAGTAAATAAGATGTGTAGAAAAACTAAGTTTTGGAGAACCCCTAATAAATTGATGTTGGAGAATTATTCATTTTGAAGTCGTCTAACCTCGTTTTGGCAACTTGGTCGTGATGTCAGGACAACTTAGTTGGACGCACTTTGTACGAAGTCCTCTGCTATAGTAAGTATCATATTTCCATTCTCAGACCTTCCTACAGCATCGTAATCGGTATCATGAATGAGTTTTGCTATTCTCAGCAACAAGCTACAACTCATCAAAGAGATAAACTACGACTAAGTCGCTCTGACAACAGGACAAAGTTGCGAAAACGAGGTCAGACCACGTCTAGACATCGAAAGGAGACTGCGACCAAAATAGAGGCTACAACATCTTGGCCTTCATATTTACGTTCATCTTTCATTCCGTTTAAAGAGGCGAGTGGAAGGAATTAGTAAGTTGTTCTCATCGGAAGCTAAAGCTCTGACGATGCCCGTCACATGACGGACGAAAACTCAGCAAGGATTCTTCGAGGTCGCAGTGAGGTTTGTGATGACCCATTCATACAAATCTTCAGTCACAGCTTCGCGGCAATCTCCATTCTGCTTTCGGTGAGGTCAACTTATGAATCCATTCCACCAGCCTCCTCAAACGAAATGAAGGGTACTCCAACATCAGTAAACAAGATATTTTGAGAAAAAGTTATAACAATCAACTATAATACGATTTAAAAAAATTAATTAAAGCTCTAAATGCAGAACCATTTATTCAGTTGTGTAGCGTAACATCTAAATAGTGAATAAATACTCTGTAGTTTCCCATAGTAAGAAGTCAGGACATATTTTAGTGAATCCCAACAATTAAAACTATTCAATTGTCATTCTACGGACAAAGGCAGATACGATATCACACTTAAACGAAGTTGGCTTTCTTGATATTTTCACCAACACGGATTGCGAATTAGACGTTTAATCTAACTTTGCCCAACAAAACAGTAAGGTAAATTAAAAGTAATGTAGAAATAGCATCTAAATAATAATAAAATACATTAAATTAAATAATCATAATAATACATAAAAAGTAATTTAATCTAAGTCCAAAGCGGGAAAATTAATAGGGAAAATATCTGAATATATTGAGACTTCCAAAATATATTTATCATGACCTCTATGATAGCCATACATTCTCGAAAAAAAAAATTAACTGAAAACTAAGTGAATTTTTATGCAAAATGTTTGGAATAAATGTGTAGCCAGCAAAAAAAATGTATAAACAAAAGAAAAATATAGGTAACCACACGTATCTCTTCTTTCGCCCTAACATTTGCGATTCTCACCCATCTGGCAGAGCTCACCTGAGTTAGCTGAATATCGCCATTCAGGCGTTGCAGCCATATTGATAGCTGTTCGGGATTATTTAAGTCTCGAATAACTTCCGGGAGCTGGCCGCTAACATTTTGGCTTCCTAATCCCTCGGATTCGGCATAACATCCATCAACCTTGCTCCCATGTCCATCAATGATTATGTTGGTCAGCAACACTTGACTTAGATGACTGAGGCTTTGCAGTTTTAGTAAGGCAAGAGAAGAAGATAATGATTTGTGCGAGGCGGATGAAGCATTGTGGATACCAGTAGTTAGCATGCGAAGAGAGCTGGCTTGAGCAGGTGAACATTTATAGACTCCGCTAGAAGGTCCAGAATTAATGGTGGTATCAGACGTCGCTAAGCGAGACGGAAGATCTGCTCCGGCTGATGCGACTAGATGGTCAATGATGTCTGACGAGAGAACGTTTCGCTTTTGGATCGATAAAGGCTGCTCGTCCAAAAGCCTGTAGTACATTTGATCTATCACGACTTCTAATTGGCTTAGTCTGGAAAGACAGTCCTTAGAAGGACCGTCATGTTCTTCAGAAGTGACTGCGGACAGACTCATTGTATCATGCGAAATCACTAAAGTATCCTTTGGCCGATCACAAGGTGGGATGCTGTAATCACTGGTGTCAGTAGAGAAATTGATGCAAGGGATAATCCCAGATGATGGCAAGACTACGGAGTATCCAAGCCGTAAGGATGGCGTTGGGGCCAGGTGATGTATAAGAATATGATGGAGATGATAGTCAAGCTGTATGAATAGATAGAATAAAAATTTTTGGAGTCAAAAAATAATCACTTTCCAGAATAAAAGTTATACAAAAAGGACTATTGATCGTGGTAGACAAGAGTTTGACTGAACATTTTCTGAATCTTGAATACAGGCAGTATTATATGGCTTCTCCAAGTAATCATTAATATCTGAATTTTATCCATTGGTGGCTGATATGCTTTCTTGGAAGTGACTTGATTTTGTAACAATTAACATCCGCATCAAATGATCACTTTGAAATGGCATAGTCAGAAGAGCTCGCATGTTCAAAGAATGCTGGCCCCCAAAGCAACGAAATTTCACAGTTATCACAGAAAATTAGAATGCTAGATAGAATGTATGAAGACCAAGATGGTTTGGCCTTTTGTGTGGTCGTAGTCTCCTTTCGTTGTATAGAAT